TCAAAAAAATAAGATAAAATGATCTGGTGCCCGGTACCGGAGAAAAACAAAAACAAAACAAAACAAAACAAAAAATAAATAAATTAATTAAATGATCTGGTGATGCAGTTCAGTGTGTAGGCCCTGGGTTCAAACCCTAGACAACAACAACAACAACAAAGAAAGTAATAGAACTTCATCTGAGTTTTAAAATAGTTAAAGAAAAAGGGAGGCTGGGTTTTTTTTTTTTTTTGTTTTGGTTTGGTTTGGTTTTTGGTTTTTGGTTTTTTTTAAGAAGATTTAGGGATATAACCAGACCTAGGTATAGAGATATGGGTAAACCTTGAATGAACTAGAGCCAGGAATTCAAATGTGCTTAATTGTATTTTTTGTGCTTCTAATCATTGCCCCCCCAACTTTCATGACATTTTTAATTAAGTTTTCAAATGAATCCAGGGCTTTATAAAGAATAAGAACTGCTGCTGTTATTTCACCAGTTTCAATGAGAGGTAATAGAAATAAAAATTGGAAAGGCTTTATTTGCTTCAAGTCATGAATTTCTAGCTCTTTATTTTCCTTTTTTATTGAGGTAAAGCTACATGAAGTTCACAAATCTTAAGTATACAGCTCAAAGAAGCTTTACCTATATAATCACATCAGATCAACACACACAGAACATTTCTGGCATCCCAACATACCTAACCTCACCCCAGAGGTAATGGCTATTATCACTTTGCTTTTCGCTTTTCTCTGTCTCAGTTGACAGGATGGTAGAATGACAGAATGCACAGAGAAACAGAAAACATTCAGAATTTCAGTAGATATTTCAATAATTCATCATTACCAAAAGAATCTAGTCAAGTTAGTAGCTTTCCAATTTTTAACATGACATACCAAAAAAACCACAACTATTTCTTAATTTCATGACCTAGAAGATTCATAAAATATGTGTATAGGGGCTGGAGATTTAGCTTAGTGGCACAACACCTGCCTGGCAAGCGCGAGGTCATGAGTTCAATTCCCAGTACCAGAAAAAAAAAAAAAAGTGTATATTTTTACTTTTCTACACTTATAATAGAATCTACTCACAGAGTGGCTTCCTCTTATTCTCTAGTTTATAGAATGAAAAACATGGGCAATGAGCAACAATTTAAAGATTTTTCAACAGTAGATTTGACTATGTAATTTTTGCTTCACCCACTGACCTCAATGCCTCTACTCACAGAGTGGCTTCCTCTTATTCTCTAGTTTATAGAATGAAAAACATGGTGCTAGAGACTGAAAATGTTGTGGCTACTCTCCAAACTCATATGTAGAAATCCTAACCCCCAGAGGTAATTAGGACCTGTTGGCATCGTCCTTATGAGTGGAATTATTACCCTTATAAAAAGACCCCAGAAAGCACTCTAGTGTTCTTTGTCTACCACAGGTGCATGAAATGAGAACTTGGCAGTCTGGAGCCTGGAAGATGACCCTTACCAGAATCCAATTCTAAATGTCCACTCTTTAGAACTGAGAGAAATAAATTTTTGTTGTTGATGTCACCTAGTCTATGGTATTTTGTTATATCAACCCGAACTAACACATAGACACCAAGCATTTAGCTCTCAGCATCTCTGTCTTCAAGAAATCAGCTAGATTGAAGCTAGCATCTCACTTCTAGTCCCAAGTACCTGAAAGACATATATTATTGTTTTAGTTTGAATCAAAGGTCTGCTCCTGGGCCAAAACACTATGGAAAAGGGACTCAGTTTATGCTTAGATAAAATGGTTGTCAAAGGCTCATAACTGTTGGTGTTCAGATCTTTTTTTTTTGTCTTTTTGAGACAAGCTCTCACTATGCAGTTCAGGCTGGTCTTGAGCTCACTTTGTAGCCCAGGCTGGCCTCCAACACACAAGGATCCTCCTGCCTCAGTCTCCCAAGTGCTGGGATTACAGGCATGCACTGCCACATCCAGCTCCATGTTCAGATTTTGAGGGGAGAAGTGGTTCCCAGAAAAAGAGCTGGGATGATAATTGTGCCAAATTCAGGTTGACCTCTATGGTACTAGAAAAATTACTACTTAATTTGTGTAGTGAATATATATTGTTTACTTAGCATGATCTAGAAACTGCACTGAGTTCTAAATAAATAATAATATATACCTCAAGAAATTCAGAATCTATTGGAAGACAGACAAGAAGATGAGAAATTCCACTAAATATGGTATGTACCACTAATGGGATAAGCATAGATTACTACACTGTAAGTCTTAGTTACTTTTCTTGTTGCTGAGACAAAATACTGAACACCCAACGTTAAAGGGGGAAAAGTTTATTTAGCTCAAAGTTTGTAGAGGTTTCAGTTAATTAGCTGGCTCCAAGTCAGTATCACATGGCAGAGGGGCAACAGCCGTGGCGGAGGAAGACAGCAAAAGCAACAAGGACAAACAGGACTTTTTCTGTTCCTTTTATTGTATGCATGCCCCTGGGACACGTGTAGCATTCACACCCTTAATCCCAGCATTAGACCAAGAATTAATCACAAATTCTGGATTCAGCCACCTCTGAAAAGCCCAAGCTTTGTGTGTGGGGGGGATCTAGACAAAAGCCATGCAGTATATTAGCATATAAAGGGATATTGAACTTGGACTTGGGAGGTTAAAGGAAGTTTCAAAGAGATGATTTTTAAATTGAGTCTTAAGAAATAAAGAGTAATTTCTTTGTTCTAGAAGTGAGGGAGAAGAGAAAGTGGGAAAAATAATCCAAAATGATATTCCAAGAAGAGAGATTAGCAACTGCAAAATTTGAGATTTTTAAAAAAATGTTTTATTACAGAAACCATAATAGTATTTTGATAAATTTTAAAATTAATTTGAGTGCTAGGGATATAGTTCATTGGCACAGTGCCTGCCTGGTAAGTGCAAGGTCCTGAGTTTGATTCCTGGTACCAAAAAGCAAAATTAATTTGACAGAAATTAACAACTTTACAATACTGAGGTTCTTTTCCCCCGAGAAAACAGTGTATCATTTTTCTACATATGTGAATCTTTGTTTGTATCCTTTATGAGATAGAAAGTTGAGGTTCCAATCACAGATTTTGTTCTTAGATAAGGTTTGTGTGCTATGCCTGTTATCTACTAAATGAAACCTTAACCTCAGGCCTCAATTTTCTAGTCTATAAAATCTACTTTCAGGGTTGCCCTCAGGATTTCTTCCATTTCCTTTGTTATCCTTTGTTATCCTTCTCTCTGCTCCCAGTCACTGTTTAGCTTCTCAATTTTCCAAAGAAGTCTTATAATTCCCTAGAAATATAAATTATCCTTGTTATTTTTGAATGTGATCTTTTCTCCCACTACATTTCCAAACTGGTGATTGTCATTTAGGAAAGGTGTTTCTCGTAAAACTTTATTGAACTTCTTTAAATTAATTCCCATAAATTTTTCAAGAAAGCAATCATAATAATACCAGAAAATATTTTTTTCCATTTTCTTTCCAAATGCATATGTATTATTTTGGTTGGCCTTTCTCAGTTCTGTTAGTATCTCAGGAAAATATTATGTAGTAGTTAGGCCTGCCTCTAACAACTTTATGGTCCAGGACAAGAGAGACAGAAAAAAACAAAGATCCATACAATATACGTCTAAATATTTACATATTTTAAATCAAGCTAACCAGTTGAAAAGTTTTGTCTTCTTACATGATATCCTAACTTATAACAAACATACATATAATGAGAAAGTCAGGTCCAAATTTAAAATTGTGAAGTACTTCTCTTTATTGGACTTGAGGTATCTTTTTTCAGAACCCAGCACCAATACCTTTACTTTAAAAGGTGTTAACTCTTGTATAAAAACATTTTGCCATGTGATGGCCTAATACTTTAATTTTTCTCCTGAGAATGAAAATTGTTGAACATCTCATTCTTAGGGCCAATTGTAACACAAACAAACATCACCATCTGGTATGCTCCCAAAGAAAATCTAAATTACTTAGTGAATTTTTAGAAATTGCTTTATTTTAGAAATTGCCTTTCAAGAACTTCTTAGGGAATCATCCATGGTCCACAATAGCTTCACTTCCATTTCACTGTAAGAGCTTAAGAACTGAATTTCCATACAGATGGTTCAAACATCTATGACATCCATAAGTAATACTCTAAGTGGATACATTCTAAGCAAGTCATCTGAATATACATATTTTATAAAGAGCTAAGTTTGGAAAATTAGGTCACCCAGAGAAGAGGACCAGTGACCTGCACAGGGCTTTAAAGTCAGCCATCTGCTTGTTGTGATGGTGGCATCCGGTCTAACTGGAATAACTTGGAAAGAAATTGTGAAAATCAGTTGTGAGTTAGAGCTCTGTGACAAACTAGCTGAACTGGTGTGAGTCACTTAACATTCTTTGTTGAACTTCAAAGTCACTACCTATAAAAATGGAATGAGAACATCTGCATTAAGCACTCCACCAGCTTCTGGAGAGGTATCACAATTTGCCTGAATTTCCATTTCTATGCTTGTTCCAGTTAAGATATGCACTCCTGTCCTGTCTGCCTCAAAGGGCTTTGGAGATGAGGCACACAGCCCTCTCAGGGCTTTGGGATAAGGCACGATCTTTCTGAACTTCAGTTTGTACACATGTAAAGAGTTCATTTTCCACACAGATTAGCCTACCAATAGAACTGCAATAAGAACAGAGGAAAATATACAGGAAAACTGCAAAATACAAAGAGTATTACAACTGTAAGTGGTCTTCAAACGTAAAACGAGACTAAAAACTGCTTGCGCTTCTTTTTCCTCCCCTGTTAGTATTACAACCCCACATCGTAAAGCAAGACCATTTTTCAGAGACCTGCGTTTGCTTTGGCACTCAGCACGCACACACCACACCTCATCCGCCTGGCCGCAGGTCCCTTGAGGGGGCGGGGCCCAACCAGCCCCCGCCTCTCGGGACGCCCCACCCCCGGCGACGCCCCGCCCACTGGCTCCCGCGCCTGCGCGGTGATCACCAACCGGCCTCGAGCGCCCCGGCGGGAGGTAAGGGGCTCGCCTGAGGCTGCTGGAAATGTCGGACCCCGACTGGCGCCCGGCGCAGGGTGCCAGTCCCGCGCGGGGAGAGGTGCCGGCGGGAAGCCGGGCCGTGGCTCAGAAGCGTGAGCCCTGTGGGGGCTCCTTCCAGCGTCCAAGCTGGCGGAGCCCCGGTCGGTTTCGGTTTGGGAAGAGCTGTTGGAGCGGGTGCAGGGAGGCCGCAGACCGGGCGGGAGCGATGGCTTCCCGGGAGCGGGTGGAAAACTTTCCGGCGCCTGCCCGGGGCGGGCGCGCTGCGGGCCCCCGCGCGGGTCCCGG